TTACAGGTCGTTCTTTCGGATTATCAGATGGTTTCCCATCAAATCCCACTTCTGATGAAGGCACCGGGGGGTTGGTACAAACATCAACATCCCGATCATCGTCTTCACAGTCCATCGCAGGGCGTAGGATTTTATAATCAGACCGAATAAATTACAAAAATATCGGACGTCGGCGATCCGTCTCCTACGACAGTCACAGCGCTCGCTCTCCAACATAATGCGCACGCAGAACTGCCAGTTTGACGTTCCGCCGGAGTACGATTTATGGTACCCTCGTCCGATGAATTGTAATAAAACCTCCTTCAAAATTCAATTTAAATAATCGACGCTCCGACATATTTATTAGATGTTTAACTGCGATTTTTTATTATTATTATGAATTTTAATATTTACTTGCTAACCATTCGTGTGTTTGACTAGTTTTAGCCTTTAAGTATTTTAAATTTTATCGATTTTATTAGTTTAGTTATAAATATATTAATAAAATTGAACAATCTATGTACTTATTTAGAGTTATTATGAATCTTTTTAAAGCGTTTGACTTTGATAGAAACAAAAACTGCCATTATGCATTCCCAAGTATCACTACAGGAATTGAGAATTAAAAGTTAATATATGACAAAATAATCTTGACTTCAATGTAATTGTGACAATATTTTAACATAGTAAGCTTCTAATTTCATGCTATTTCTAAGTAAATGAACTTAATATAGTAGTGATCCAAAAATAGTGCGGACATACCTAGATTAGTGCCAAAAAGAGACTTGTCAAGTGAAATAGGCAATGTTGTAAAGAAAAATGTATCCTAATGTTTTGTATAAAAGGTTCATTGCAACTTCACATAAAATGCTGCTTTATCTATACTTGCTTGATTACATATATATATTTACTTGATATGATTTGCCTTAAATTAACTACATGAAATGTGATCCAAAATGCTTATTTTGTAGGAAATAGTAGATAAAAAATATATAGATAAATGAATCTAAACATTCTGTGATGCATTCCGAAATATTACATGGAGCTATGTACTTACTGTCCATTATAGAAAACCGTTAGTCAATTTACTAGGAATTATGTTAAGGACATTTTTATTGTTAAAAATATTCGTGTTTCAAATTATTGGAAGTCTTAGAGTTCTAGACTCTTATATTTACGTACTATATAAATCTGACTTAAATATTTTTTTCCTTCACCTGTTGGAGTTAGAGAGATATCTACACTTTTATCTTTTTCATAATTTTAGTTAACAATTGTATATTATTGTATATGGCTTTGCAGTTTGTCTAAATATTATATTGTCAAAGGTCATGCCATGTCATGAATCAGTAATGTTTCACTTTATATGGTAAATAAGGATTTAGGGACTCGCAAATTCTACTATAAAAGATCATCAAGGCGGAACATACACATTAATAAAAATAAAAATAAAAAGATTTGGATGTTTTATGTCACTTAATAAAGTGTTTACAGTATATACTGATTTTAACGCTTTATTATGGCGTTTCTTTTATTAATTATTGACAATCATTCCAACTTAAAACGTTTCTTAAAGTTATGTTGCGTATATTCTGCCATGATCCTTTTATTTAAAAGTATTATTATGACATTATCTTTTAGTTTTAGTATTATAAAATTACCTGAATGATTCTATTTAATCGTTTTCTTGTTATTACTTCCTTTATTGTCCATTCCAATAAATAAATGTATACTATAATTGCAGATTGTTTTATTTAATAAAAGATAAAAGATAAAAGATAAAAGATAAAAGATAAAAGATAAAAGATAAAAGATAAAAGATAAAAGATAAAAGATAAAAGATAAAAGATAAAAGATAAAGATAAAAGATAAAAGATAAAAGATAAAAGATAAAAGATAAAAGATAAAAGATAAAAGATAAAAGATAAAAGATAAAAGATAAAAGATAAAAGATAAAAGATAAAAGATAAAAGATAAAAGATAAAAGATAAAAGATAAAAGATAAAAGATAAAAGATAAAAGATAAAAGATAAAAGATAAAAGATAAAAGATAAAAGATAAAAGATAAAAGATAAAAGATAAAAGATAAAAGATAAAAGATAAAAGATAAAAGATAAAAGATAAAAGATAAAAGATAAAAGATAAAAGATAAAAGATAAAAGATGACATATACAGTGGCGCGGAAGGTGGCCAAAAACCTGTACTTCATATATTTTTATTGTGACATGGTCGATGATTACATTCTTCCAACATTCTCTCATAAACACATCTTTGAAGAACAAAATACCATCTAAGATGATGTCGTTGCTTTCGTAAGAGCATCTGCCTCCATCATATCAGTCTGCATATAGCGAACTTCAACTGTCCCTCCTAGTACTTTGTCACGGATAGTGATGCCTCACGTCGATGTGTTTTGTCGTAGACGTAGAATGATAACCGTCAGTTCATATGTATACTCTGCTTCCGTAGTGGATAAAGCAACCGTAGGTTGTCTCGTAGAGTTCCAGCAGATTGTTCCTCTTTGAAAAATGAATGCATAACCAGTGCAGGAGCGCCGATCATCCTCTGAACTAGCCCAATCAGCATTACAATAACCATGACCCATTGTCTCTTCGGAGTTCTGCTTATAAGTCAACCTAATCAAATCTTGAGTACCTTTCAAGTAACGCATGATACGTTTAAGGGCAACCCAGTGCTGTATTTCGGGATTACAATTATATTTGCTTAACGTATTAACAGCATAACTAATATCGGGCCTGGTCACAAATTCTGAAATATTTATTTCCTCTGTATTTCCTATTCTAGTCAGTTTTGTATTCGGTTCCATTGGAGTTTTGACAGTCTTACAATTGGACATGCCATATTTTTGTCTTTCTTTGGTCCATCCGTCTATAGTCAGAATTTTAATTCGATTCCTGATTTGACATGACCAACTGTCATTTTGTGAAATAATGATACCACATATAACAGTGTAGTGATGAACACAAAAATCTATAAACAATCAGTGAATCAGTTACAGGAAGGGATACAAAAAATTAGGACTACCGAATGGTCTAAATGCGTATCCCATGTTCTCAAAGAAGAGGAAAAAATTAGTAAGCTAGATATGTTAATTGACAATAAAAATTACAGACACAATTCATAAATAAATGTTACAGAAAGTAACAGCGATAGCGATAGCGATGACGGCGACAGTTTATAATATTTCTGTTTTATTAGTCATGTTCCTTCATGATCACATTTTTTATTAATTTCACACACAATTACAAAAGAAAAGTCTCAGACCGTTAATTAATTGTCCAAACTAAATTTTCGGTTTAGAAATATTTTATTTCCTGATAAACTTAGTTTACGAGAGTATAAACGAGAGGAATCGATTCAGAAATATTCTATTTCCATATCGAATAATTTCGCAACGTCACTATTTTGTACGTGTCATAACGTTGCAACACTGAAATTGTCAAATCTGGAATGGAATTAAAATTCCGAGTATAGTATATTAGTCCTCTCTTCCTGTCGCGTTCTACATGAATCCCGATGCAATAGCTAACATCTCCAAGATCTTTTATTTTAAAATGTTTATGTAACTGTTGTTTTATATAACTTATATGTATGTAGCCAGGAAAGTTATATTATTTTCATTTTCAATTCTGAAGTAAATACGGGGATCCAGTTTGGACTTGGTTCGACCCATTTCTTAACAGCCAAAGCAAACAGGTATCTCAAGGATGCAAGCCTAACAACCGGTGAACAAACTTCTGTGTATAGTTCCTTCCATAATTAGCATTGACATAGGAAATATAAGGACTTGAAATACCTACGAAAAAAAGGTGCATACCTACAATCCAAAATTTCGCATAAGATGGCTGCCGTTGCTAGGGTTGTACCGACTAAGTATTTAACGAGTATCGATACAATTTGAGTATAAGTTCTAAGTAGTTTTAGGGATTAGCCAGCTGATTAACGCTATTTTTTTATGGGAAATCATCTAATGTCATCATCGGCCCTTTTCGTGACAGACCGTTACTGACTAAAATCAACTCCTGTTACTACTTTGCCGTCGGCCTAGCTAGAGCCCGGAACCCGGGGTTAACTAGGTCTCTTGATCGGCTAATGATTTTCTCAAGTCGAATTTGTATTCATATAATACTAAGTAAAGCGTCTTTAAAAAAAATAGGACTGTGTTTATGAACAGCGTTTAATGGAATGGTGAAATAGAAAAAGATAGTGTTTGTTAAATGTTTATCTTTATATATGTGCAAAATTTGTGAAGTGCTCGCGCACAATTTCGGCGCGTCTGATTAAGCGATGATATCTTCGAAACTACAATAGCACAAAATAGATAGGTAAGTAGAGAAGTCAATATTATTGTATGTATCTCACTTTTTATATTACGCTTGGTGGCCGCACTGGGATCGCCGCCAACGCCGCTCTGTCAATTGCGCCTGGATAATTATAAAACATGATAATTTGAACTTCTACTTTAACTTTTACTTTATTGGTTTTAGTTACATAAACTAAAACCAATACCAAAATACTGATGTCTTACTTAAGCCTTACACAAAACTGAGGAAACATCCATTGTTAAAATAGATTATTTAGGATAATATATGTTGAATTTTAAATGGGAGATTATATCGATACTTTTGTGGAATGGTACGTAACTATGCCATATTGACATATTATTGTAAACAACATTTTTTTACTAAAACTGTCTCACGGACAGAAATAAAAGTAAATGTATATACTTTGGCAATAGATTCAAGTATCCGTAACATTTTTTTCTATCTATGTGGATTATTCTTAGAAATATTTGATGAAAACTGTTTACTAACCTATGCAAAGACAATTGAGGTGGTTTTTCGTTCTTTTTTGCACCACACTGCACAATACAACACACAGGCTTATTGTATTTTTGGTTCACTATATATATTTGAAGTTTAAAAAAAATGGTTCTTTGTAATTTACTGGAAAACCACAATAATTTAAAACATAAACAACCGTTTCACAGCACAACTACCATGAAACTCAGGTACTCTGAGCGCTTAAGATGGCGGACATGGCACTTACCTACAACTTTGCTAATGTCAAAATGATTTGTTGCCATATTAAACAACAACCTAAATATTGTTGTCCCTTTTGTCTAATACAAATATTGCCTGAGAAAGAGTGAGAAAAAACGATATTTCATAGTTTGTTTCATATTTCACTCATTATTGTATAAGCATGTATACTTCTAAAATAACACGGCGCCTCTATATATTTTCTATCTCAATGATAATTAGAGACAACAATTTGACAACCGCAAATGTCAAACTACAAAATGATGTGGCCAGATTTTTTCACATAGTGATGGGCCCGAGTACGATGTTTTAAAATACCGATACCGTTTTTTTTAATAATTTATTTTTTGAAGGAAAAATAGATTGCCGTTCGCTATAATAAGGATTTTCAAGTACCTACTAGTACAGACACCAGACTAATTTTGTAAAATGGGCAGACTCCATGTCAGATCCCTATCAACTATAGTCAGAATTTTAATTCGATTCCTGACTTGACATGCCCTACTGTCATTTTGTGAAATAATGATACCACATATAACAGTGTAGTGATAAACACAAAAATCGATAAACAATCAGTGAATCAGTTTCTTGATTTCCATTTTCCTGACTTTGATAGTCAGGTACTTTTACCTGAAGATAAAATATTACAATGTGACTGACAGGCATTATGTCTAGGCTAATTATGTATAACATTCAATCTGCAATAAAGATAAAGATAAAGATAAAGATAAAGATAAAGACAAAGACAAAGACAAAGACAAAGACAAAGACAAAGACAAAGACAAAGACAAAGACAAAGACAAAGACAAAGACAAAGACAAAGACAAAGACAAAGACAAAGACAAAGACAAAGACAAAGACAAAGACAAAGACAAAGACAAAGACAAAGACAAAGACAAAGACAAAGACAAAGACAAAGACAAAGACAAAGACAAAGACAAAGACAAAGACAAAGACAAAGACAAAGACAAAGACAAAGACAAAGACAAAGACAAAGACAAAGACAAAGACAAAGACAAAGACAAAGACAAAGACAAAGACAAAGACAAAGACAAAGACAAAGACAAAGACAAAGACAAAGACAAAGACAAAGACAAAGACAAAGACAAAGACAAAGACAAAGACAAAGACAAAGACAAAGACAAAGACAAAGACAAAGACAAAGACAAAGACAAAGACAAAGACAAAGACAAAGACAAAGACAAAGACAAAGACAAAGACAAAGACAAAGACAAAGACAAGACAAAGACAAAGACAAAGACAAAGACAAAGACAAAGACAAAGACAAAGACAAAGACAAAGACAAAGACAAAGACAAAGACAAAGACAAAGACAAAGACAAAGACAAAGACAAAGACAAAGACAAAGACAAAGACAAAGACAAAGACAAAGACAAAGACAAAGACAAAGACAAAGACAAAGACAAAGACAAAGACAAAGACAAAGACAAAGACAAAGACAAAGACAAAGACAAAGACAAAGACAAAGACAAAGACAAAGACAAAGACAAAGACAAAGACAAAGACAAAGACAAAGACAAAGACAAAGACAAAGACAAAGACAAAGATAAAGATAAAGATAAAGATAAAATATTTTATTTAAGTCTCGGGCACTTAGGTATCTAGTAGAAAAATTATTAATTTTTATTTTGCTCTTCACCTGCCTTCTCATACCAAATATACTGTGTCGTTAATATTACTAGCGATCTCCCTCTGTTCTTTGTTCAGTAGCCCATTCAAAACGCCTGGTACTTTTTTTTACATAAAAGAAACTTTGCAATGAAAATTTGTGTAGGCGATTATAGAAATTAAAAAAAAACAAATCCTCTGGAACGAGACCGGATTCGCATTAAAAAAAGTGGACTTATACCAAAGTATCATTCAGTATGTCAATTGCCCAAATCATTTATGATGCTGGAAAAATAATATCTCGTAATAATAAAAAACTTTAAAATCTTTGGTACTATTTGGAGTTGAATGGATGAAGTAAAATACAATATTATGTGTCTTAGAATGATACATTTCATGAGCTAAAGATAAAAGATAAAAGATAAAAGATAAAAGATAAAAGATAAAAGATAAAAGATAAAAGATAAAAGATAAAAGATAAAAGATAAAAGATAAAAGATAAAAGATAAAAGATAAAAGATAAAAGATAAAAGATAAAAGATAAAAGATAAAAGATAAAAGATAAAAGATAAAAGATAAAAGATAAAAGATAAAAGATAAAAGATAAAAGATAAAAGATAAAAGATAAAAGATAAAAGATAAAAGATAAAAGATAAAATTATAGGTGAAGGTGAAGGTGTGTCAGGTCCATGTTTGGACTAGAGACAATGGATAGTAGTCGGCCATACATCTATTAAATATAGATAATATTTTAACCCTACATATTATGTACTCATTTTAACATCTTACATTACAACATATAAATATGTATCTTGTTCTGTATACTCGTGTTTTACACAATACAATTAAATTATGTTTATCTTTATCTATTAAAAACGTCAATTAAAAGTTATCTATGAAACTGCAATCTTTGTTAAAACTAAATCAAACTTATTTAGTCGTCTCTCGGATGTAGTTAGTCGCAGTCGAAGAGATAATAATAAACTATGTATAGTTCGGACAAATGCACAATAGCATTTTATGTTTGGCACCAGTAATTTATAACAAAGTACCAAAAGAAATACACCAAAAGAAGTGCACCTAAAAAAATATTTGATTGAGAGGTGCTACTATAATTTGACAGAATTTCTAACAGATTCCTAACATTATGACATTTTTATCCATCTGTTATTTAATTGGTTCCTTTATCTCTATCTCTATCTCTATCTCTATCTCTATCTCTATCTCTATCTCTATCTCTACCTCTGTCTCTACCTCTATCTCTATCTCTATCTCTATCTCTATCTCTATCTCTATCTCTATCTCTATCTCTATCTCTATCTCTATCTCTATCTCTATCTCTATCTCTATCTCTATCTCTATCTCTATCTCTGTCCCTGTCTCTATCTCTGTCCCTGTCTCTGTCTCTATCTCTATCTCTATCTCTATCTCTACCTTTATTTTTAATCTTTAAAAAATTGCCGATAATTACTTATATTTTTTTCACTTTTGTAAACTATACATTGCATCCTCTAACTATAATCACTAGATTACTCCTACCATCGTCTACAGTCAGGAGCTAGGCTAATGAAGCCTAGGAATCATTAACTCATTGGTAACTGTTCGGTTATGAAATCTATAGTCAACAGTGTAGTAGGTACAGGCATTTTGTTATAGTGGTGTGCGACTGATCGGCCAAGGACACACTATGTTCGGTATCTCCTAAATGAACTATCCATAGTAGTCCAAAATACTTGAGAATTCTTATAGGAGTTGCTCATTTCAAGTGCACGCATTAAAACCACCATTAGATTTTATAAAATATATTTTTTTGTAACAAAAATATAACCTATTTACACCTTTACGTAAAGTACTATCAATCACATTGATTCCGATGCGCTAGTCCCTAGTTGAGCAATAACAAATTAAGTTAACAATTATTTATTACGTTGTCCCTCTCCTTAACTCTAATCCTACTGTTTATTCCTTATAAAAGTCTTCTATGATGTCTTTGTACTTCTCATAGACTACGTTTCTCTTCACCTTCAGCGTTGGTCCTGTAAAAGAATTATAAAGTTAAAATAAATAAATAAATAATTATTGTTTCTAGTAACATATCACAAAAAGTTTTAGTACTTATAGTATTATTCTAATAAGTGTCCAAATTTGGGTACTTTATATCGCTTGTTGTTGATTAACACTTTGGAAGACCAAGTTAAAAGTGTCGAAAGCCATATTCATTAAGAAGTTTTACAGTCGCAACTTATAACTTGAGTACATTTAAAAAACTTTAAAGTTTACTTTATTTAAAAGTATATATAGTCTTATGTACCTAATTCTCCACTGTGTACTGAGAAGTCTGCTGGAAGGATGGCGAATTTTTGGATCTTCTGAGCGTTGGAAATTGCATGCTTGTTGGCGCGAGCTATACCTTCTTCAATTGCTTTATGGACCTGTTTAAAACCACAACATTTTTTGTTAAAGTTGATCTTTATTAGTAAGTCTTTACTAGGGTTGTACCAAAAATAAGTAAGTAAGCTTTTTAACGCAAAAATACTATGACGTCATAATTTGGTGTTTCATAGACAAGAATAATTTTTGATATTTGGATAAAAGTATTGAATTTGAGTGATTGGAAACTACCGTATTACGGTATGCATTTCCTAGATTTGGTGTATGACTTACAGCAGGGTCCTTAGTGTTAACAATTTCACTAATCTTAGTAGCTTTGCTGCCGAGGCTGGCAACCCATTTCCTTGTTTCATTATCTAAGTCGTCGAGGGCTTCACTGGTTTCAGAGTTCACTTTAGCCTGGAAAAAATGAAAATAAATAAATTACCAAGTGCCTTCATTGTAACTTCTATAATAGATTTTTAATCAACTAAAGGCAATTTCACAAACACTACCAATAAAAATTAATAAGAAAATTAGGTAAATGTTCAAACAAATAATCCATGTCATATATGTACCATATAATAATACCGTATTGTGTACTGAGACTCATCACATTTTATTCTGCTGAAATTACAGGGTTCAGAAGGTGCTGATAGCGATAGGAGGCGTTTCATTAACAGTACTAAAGACCCAAAGAGATCGACAAACAGTTTCGGTTCAGATAGTGAAATTTGTAAATAAACCTCTTTTTGTCTCTGTACAAGAATGGTTTTATATTTTTTTTGAGGGAATCAATAACTTCTTTCGCCAAGGGTGAGGAGAAAGGCAGTGTAAGACTCTTACTGCTTAAAAACCACCCTATTATTTCTCCAGCTGCTCCGCAACCCCGGCTTAGCATCGGTCCTGTTGGGCCCTATCTGTATCTCTGTAGAAGTAGTAAGTGGGGAACGTATTAGTCAACTTACCTTTAGAGTAACTAGTATAGAGAGGAATTTGCGTCGGTCACCGATGAGCACTGCGTAGCCGATGTGCAGTAACTCGGCTTGTACAGCTTGCTCAATCAACACTGGGGCCACGTTCTCACCACCCGCCGTGATCAACAATTCCTGTGCGACAAAATAAACGAATTTAGATGAAAAAATCTGTAGGTAGGTATTTATTCTGTGGAGCTGTTTAACCACCTTTGTTTAAGCATCTGATAAACTTATTATTTGACAATAGTAGGTATATTTATAGTTATTAGGTACTAACTAAGCAGTAGGCACGTGCCTCACAATAGGTACCTAATTTAAAAGCACCGTTAGGAAATACGTACCTACAATTTTATTTAGGGTATTGTCCACACCTTTATCAACATGTGTTAGTATCAAACAATATCTTTTATAGTAGACTGATAACCAATTGTAATCCAAGACAAAACGAATTAAATATTTTACATTAAAATCAAAGGCGAAGAGAAATCACAAGAGCGGACTAAAATGGTCTGGGCAGGAGATGATTAAAAACTCGACTGCACGGTCGACTGTCGGTCACAACGTGTCGTGGGTTGATTCCCGCACGGAACCAGTCTTTGTTGTTCCGGGCCTGAGTGTGGTGAGTATGTGAAATTGTATCTATATGTGTAAACGCACCCTGCACACACCTAAAACATATGTAAGTGAGGGGCAACGTATCTCAAAAAAAACTCGTAGGTACCTTTATTCTTCCAGTAATGTACAGAAGGCCATTGCTATCAACTCTGCCAATATCTCCAGAATGCAGCCAACCTTCTTCGTCGATAGCTTCTTTAGTCTTAGCTTCGTCATTCAGGTATCCCATGAATACATGGCGACCACGCATCATGATTTCACCAGGACCGTTCGGACTGGTCGCGCCTCCGAACATTGTTTCTGTGCCATCTAGGAGTGCACCAGCTGAATCTAATGAGAATCTGTAAACGCGAGTTATAGGGTTAAAAGTGTTTCAAGAATATAAAAACACAACTTGGTATATTTTATGTATCAGGTACTTGAGTTGAGAACATAGTTAAAATTATCGTCGAAAACGCTTTGATGGATTTCTGACGATAAAATTGAATAGGTTTATGTAGGTATGTATAGTGTAAGTCCACTTAGTAAAGCTATTTGCTCGCTCCAAAGACTCTTCTTCTTGTAAAGATTCCAATAGAGAAAAACGAGCGAGAAACCCCATCGCTAGTCTTTTTACATCAGTTTCACATACAGGTTATTTGGTACGTTAATATTTAGTAATAGTTATTTAGTTATAGTATCGGAATCCTAAAACACTGTAAATACGACCAACAATAGTTAGACACGTCATAATCCACTATTGACCCAAATGAGGAATCAAAAACCGCGATGATATCATCCTTTTGATAAATTTACGGAAATCCTAATTAATCGAGTGTAGGTATTGTAGTTTTATCGACTTATAAACAATTATCATGATTTAGCGATTTAACTGTAAGTAGTATGTCTCATAGGTATGTTTAGGGAAAATAATTAAAAGGTGCAGTCCCTTACTCATACCTATTAGGTACATGTAGGTAATTATAATGATAACGACACCACACTTTGATGATAGTCACAATTGTATTGTAGCATTAAAAATTCCATACGAACTTTATAAGACACTGATAATGAATCACGTAGGAAATCTACAACTTTTAAGTCAATGATTTTTTGTGGGTTTTCCTCAATATTGCAAAGTTTATTGGGCCAATATACTTTGCAATATTGGCATATATATTTTCTTTACACATTAAACTTACTTGGGATATATACTAAGCGTGTGCGCCCCAGAAGCTTCGCTCATTCCGAAGGCATCAACAATAGGTAAGTCAAGTGAGAGGAAGAACTTCTTGATGTCAGGTGATAGTGGCGCTGCTGAGGTCACGAACGTCGTGCAGTGGTCTAAACCAAGAGACTCGTGTATTTTGTTGAACACCAACGACTTTGCCATTTTGTATCCAAAAGCCGAACCGTCCACCCTGTATATACGAAGTAAATTAGAAACATGTAACATTATGTATGTAGTTCGAATGACGTTGATTCTAGTGATGGGTTGATTTTATCACGTATTTACCTTCTGATAAATGAACGAGTAATATACTTCACACCATGCCTTCATACAAAACTTAAATGGATTTAATTTATTTCGAAATAATACCGTTACTTAATACTATTACAAAAACTTTTTCGCTACGTTATAAGTAAGTAGGTACGTTATACTTAGATGCATAGTATCATCATAAACATTGCCACATACATACTTAATAAAGAAGTACGTACAACATTAATATATGTACTTAAAACTGATTTGCGTCCGTCTTTTGTGTTGTATTCTGAGCTATATTTACTGTAATAAGCAGTTGTAATTCGAAACATATGTTTACCAAAGATTGAACATTTCAAGTATTTCAACATCAACTTTGTTTTGTCCGCAAACAATGCCAAGTACCTACCTACCTAATTACGTAATTCGTGTTATTCACGATCTTATGTTGGTAAATAACGATTAAACTGAAATGACTTAATTTTAAATGGGATATGAAATATTCATACTCATGCTCTTGAAAACAAAAAAACAACATTAAATGATGGGATTTAAGTAGCTGTGTAGTATCTATGTTTATATGTAAATACGTATTATTAAATGGCGGCGTACTACATTCCTAACTAACTAAACCTGTTATAATTTTAATGGGAAAAAGAGTACATATACTACATCAAATATTTCTAACTACTTTCAACTGGTAAAATCTCAAAAAGTGCGCATACGTTAGCGAGGTACACAAGCACAAATCACTTGCTAATTAAGTGCTAAATAACATTGGGATGCATGCTCCAAGCTACGGGGTCGTTGACTTTACATACCAAAATTTTATCATTTCGATGATAGTGAAGTCTATGGGCAGACCGTACATACTGCTCGATAGGGCACTGATTAAAAAATATTTTAATTAATGTGAATATTGAGACCTTTGAAATTTAGTCTCAATTGTCTAAGGGTTCCCGACCGTTAACTGGTTAGACAATTACTAAAAAAGGCACGTAACCCGCGTTTAAAAAAATCTAAGATACTTCTAAACCGTATAAAATCGACAAATCTCTATGGCCCATCTCTAGAACAGTCAAATGGTGTCTTGTAGGTGGTTCAGCCTAATACGACAGAGGCATTCTTTATTCAAAATGCTTGTCCCTACTAACTTTTTCTCCTAATATTTCTGCGAGTTGTAGATATTTACCATTAAATTGTGCAGAACCTTGTTTATATCCTCTTTTAAGTCTTAAAATCGCAACGTATCGTATAATTGATTAGTAATTGTTATCAGTACAAGGCCAATCTACACCTAGTTAATTAATAATCGCTGAGTAGTCATCTGTTATGCTATCTGCGGAAGTTTACGGCTAAGGTCACATTGCAAGATTTATGTAGGAAGCATTATCGTCTGGAGGACGAATGTGCATAGATATAAATGCTAGGTGATATTAATAGACATTGCTGATTGCATTCGGAGACTCCGGGAGTGTCGACACAGATATTGTTGTTACTACAGAAGATAGAAGTAGTTTTACTATAGATAATATTAGTTTAAATTTGTATTTTCTACTTTACTCCCTATTGTCCTTCTTGTAGTGACCAGGTATTAACATCATTTACTTTTATTCTTCGATTAAAATAATAAAAAACAGCATCCTTACCCATTAATCCTGGCAAGATGGTACTTAAGACCTTTCTCCTTAGCACACATAGCAATTTGCTTCTTGAAATAACCGCTGGATGCTCCAACGGCCATTATCTTTTCATACATTTTCTCCCATACTCGAGGTACGCCCAAGAATCTGTTGGACAATTGCATGGATCTTATCAATTGATAATCGAAAAAACGTAAGAATTTCCTATCTAGGTATGTAGGTAATGACTTAAATATAGCACGTTTATGTAGAAGTAGGTAAAAGATAGTACCTAAGTATATAAATTTAATAACAGCTGCTCTTCACTTAGATATGCAAGTAGCTGATGTACCTACACCTACACCAAAACGATTGGCTTACGAATCTAGATTAGCAATAATATCTATCATATTTTGTAAAGTACCTACTCCGCAAAAAAGTCTACGTGTGTGAAAACCGTTTGACTAGAAAAGTATGAGAAAAAAAGCCGCCTCCTTTTTCGTAGGCGGTTAATAAATGGATATTAAGTAGGTATTGATTTGAAATTCCGTACACGTTACCTTGTCGGTCGAACTTCCTTGAGTGTTTCAACCAAGCTGCCTTTAAGCGCGTCCGGTTGCGCGAAGAACACAGGGATCGCGTTTGACAATGTTGTGTAGATGTCTACCACCTGGCATTTAAAATAAAAAGGAAATTAGTATAATTTAATAACTAACATATATCGGTGTTTATGTAGCAATAATACATGATGAATACAATTTTACTGATGCGGGAAGTTTTTTGTATTGCTACTCTCACGCAGCTTCTCCAGCTGTTCGGCTCCATTTGATCGTAACTGGATGTTTTATAGTCTATAGCACTCAGAAACATTGTAGCTATCTATCAGTGAATGAATTTTGGCAATCCGACCAACGTTTCCAAAGATTACCCCCTACATAAAAACTAACAAATTTTACCTCTTTATAATATTAGTATAGATGTATAGATTTCATTTATTAACATTGAATCTGTTCGGAATAATATTGATCATTCTGTTTGAATCATTAATCCACACAATCATCGTAAAGACAAGCAATGGAAGAAGAACCTCATTTAAAGTATTATGGTAGGTTATTATCATGTTAAGAATGACATGTAAGATGCAAACTGTGTATGTTATGAAAATGAACTTGTACTCCGATAACCCAACAACCTTATTGACTCGCTTGATTAATAAACAAGTGATACCTTATGTTTTCTTTTACTTGTCGATTAACAAGATGAAATTATTAATAATATGCCTAGCGATTATAATATGGATAACGAACGCCTGCGTCACGAACGAGTCTGATAAAGATGCATAACTTTTTCTACGCAACACGAAACGTATTGAAGTAAGTAGGTAAATTAATAAATCATTTAGTTAACATATTGGTGTTCATAATTAAAATCACATTTGTTAAATCTATTGACTTGATAAATTAATAATAGGTCTTTACCTATGAAATTGCCGTTCGTGCAGTACTGGCCATTTCAAATCAAAATAGTTTTTGTTAGACTAAGGCTAATTATTTTTGTTTTAAAAACATGGGATTCTTTTTCCAAAAATTAGTCATTTGTTTATTGATTAGTGTAACATTTTCATCGCATTTCAAATCAAAAAAATCGTTTAAATTTTTTTATGCAAAACGGCAATTTCATAGGTAAAGACTTATTATTATGACGTAGCAAACAATCTAAATCGACAACATAACTTGCATCTCTACTACCCACTGGGTTTATCTACCTGGTTTCATTAAGGTTTTAAATACTTAGTCTATTTCTGTGGACAAGACATTGTACCCAACAAGAGCGATGCGCAAGGGCACATTGTACCTGCTTTTTAAGCTTACTTAACACGCTTGTTTGATTTTTAAACCCACTTGGCTAATAGATGTACCTATGTAAGTCTATTTAAATTGAAATAACTGGTTTGACTTGTTTTTAATTATCTTTGTGACTGACCTGTGCAGCGACGTGACTCAACGGTAAGAAGGAGATGATGCGGTCGTATGTTGGCTGCAGATCTCCTACTCGTTCGGTGATAGAGTATGCGTCCCATGTCAGGTTGTCGTGGGACAACATCACGGCTTTCGGGGGACCCACTGTTCCTGACTATGGAAAATATAAAACATTGGTGTAATGTGAAAGTACAAATTTAGAAAGACTGTGGAACGATTAAATAGAAGAATTGTGGCCTACAGGAAAAAAAGTTTACTAGGATCCGTATTATCTTGCTCTTTTGTGCATTTATATAGAGGTATGGATAGTTTTAACGTAAAGAATGTCTAGTGACATAATCCAGCTATTCCTAGGTGTATATCGTTCTATGTTAATTATTATTCTTTCAATTCAAATTTATTTAGCCATTATGTATTTTAAAAGATATTAACATAACTTACCGTATACACTAATGTACAGCACTCATTCACAGCAATCGTTTTTAAAACATTGTCTAATTGTGTATTGGGCTCCTTGGCACCCATTTCTAGAACCTGGTCCCACTGAAAACGAAAATATTATTTTTAATTAAAATTAGATAAACTTCTTCATAAAACTGTTTATTTTACGCTTACTATCTACTTCCTTCACGTTCTAGAATAAATGAGAAATTTATAAAATTGTTGTTACTGCAATAATTCAGAGAATCGAATAAGTAACCTACTTACACTATAGACACCAGGTACGGAGGTGTCAACATTGCCCTCCCATTGTATGAGGGCCTTCAAGTGCGGCAGTTTGTGTCGGACGGACAGAATTTTGTCGAGCTGCTTCTTATCCTGCACGGCACAGATGTTGGCGCGAGACGACAACAGGCAGTGGTAGCAAGCGTCCGCCGAGTTTGTTGTGTAGATACCCGCTGCATAACCACTAGAGAAATGAAGATAGAAAAATATTAGCAAATAGGAGAGCAGTAGATGAGTAGCTTGGGCAAACACACACATCTAACAAGCATTGTCTAATAATTTAGCCCATGTTTACAATGAATAACTTTCGCTTGCGCCTGCTTTGTTAGATGAGTGGACGTAGGAGAATCCCGGGTGATGCAAAAGATTATACGGTTTTTTTTTTATTATTCTGGTCTCGAATTGTGCGTCTGGCAAGAGTTTGTTGTCATGAGGAACTGGTGAAAACTGAAAATTAGTAACATGGAAAATATGCACCACATTCTATCTATCCCTTCAGATATTCAAAGCTGATTTTGCAACTATAACGACTGTTATTTTATAAGGTACTGAACTACTAGGCTATTTTACTAGGTACACTTAAATTGAAATGTCTCATTGGATAGAGAATCTAATTTTAGTCTGGAATTGAGTCTGGTGTCAATACACCACGTAATACAGAGCATATCATTAATTGGGCGAATGATAAATAGGCCAAAAGTCAGTGTTCTTCATCTGCCTATGACTTCAGAATACAACGGCGGTCATGTGATGGTATTCTATTATGATTACGCAAAGAATATTAGGTATGGGCAATTCTTGTAATAAATCATATTTAATGTTAAAGATATTTTGACGTATTTTTCAATAATAAACTAATTTAAATAGAGCAATAAATAAATAAAGTAATAAATAAATAAATAAATTAGCCATTGAATTTCTTATCTTGGGCAGGTTGTAAAAGGTATTATAATGGTTTATACATCGATTGCCGGTGTGTTGTAATCACAATGTTTATGTAGGTACTTCTGTCGTAGTGCAAGCATTCAAAATGTAAAACAATTGGTTTGTAAGTGTAAACTACGGATACAGCTGTAACTAAGTGCCTAGTGCGTTTGCTTTGCGCTAAGGCAGTCACAATATTTATGACGTTCTGCGCTCTGATTGGCTGACTAATACCTTACCGACCAATGAGATGGCTAAAACGCGAGAACGTTTCGATTGCGTTAACGTAATAAAGAACGCTCACTGGACACTCTAATTTTAAAACTAAAATATTTTTTTAATTCGATCTGAGCTCTTGAAAGAAACAAATAATTATAATTACTTATAATATAAAAGTTGTAGATGTCAAAAATCGGTTTATTCCTAAGATTTTGGATTCCGATTGGTTTTTAATTTCGGATTGATGTTTGTACACCATAGATATTGAAGATGTTCAATTTATTTTCCATCTTCATTTTTTTTAAATGTACCATTATTAATGATGCTTTGAGTGAACCTATCTATACATTTTCACTTTATTGTACTAATATTTTAGTGGTATGTATGCGTCTGAATATATATTTGAGTATCCTTAAAGTCCCTATATATTTTACACTGACTTGTACAAACATCAACTAGTTACAATATTATTACGTCATTCGTAAGATTTGTTTTGTAAAAAATATGAGATTTTATCAGTACCTAGATATTTGGTGCCCTGCTTGATGGGAATAAAATAATCACCTATTGTTTGAATTCAGATAGCTATTTACGGAAGATCATGTTGCATGATTTTTTCTAATATAATTTAAATGCTTGCGTCACTCGTCTTAATAACATTTTATTTTTCGTTTCAGGATTAACAATTGGTTTTTCATCTCATCTCATGTTGAAAAACAGTCGTTTTGTTAGTAAAATTTAGGTACTTACTAAGTAGGTTTGTTTGTACATTATACAACACTAGCTTCCGAATGCGGCTTCGCCCGCGTTGTAGATAAAAGGTAGCCTATGAGTTAATCCAGGGCATTACCTATTTTTTTTAAATTTGGAATGTAGGCAAATTTTAACCAAATCGGGTTTTCCGTTTTTGCGTGAAATAACAACAAACTTCCACATAATTTGTTTGTTGTAAACTTTTACATTTATAATATTAGCAGGATATTAGAAGGATAGTTCAAAGTTCTGGAAATGAGTTCGAGCCGAGGGCATTGCCTCAACGGGTCTGCTTTCTCAGAATATAAAACTAATTTAGCTGTTGTTTGATGGAACAAACTATCCTATGTGTCAAGTAATTATATTACATACTAACCCAGCGTGTATGGCTGCTAAGTCGGCGACGAACCATTGCTCCGAGTTAAAGCCGAGAATACACACAGAGTGGTATCGCTCTAGGCCTAACTTTATGAAAGCTTTCGCCACAGTTCGCACACGCTCTTGGTATTGCCTGGAAAATACATAAAAATCACTTAAAGAAACAGAACGTAAAAGAATGAATGTTTAATTAAAATACGTACTTATTTCAGGGAATTATAGTCTATATTACATGTGGCAATTATATAAATACGCTGATGACGTTAATAGTTTTCATTATCAAGTACTATCTGTTGATATTATACATGATGATTATAAAAGTCGGCACTACAAAGGATTTTCATTAAAAATTCCTTCCGTCGACAACTATTTTGATGTTATGTAAATAATCTGCCCTAGTAACATTAAAATCATTTCTTATCATCAAAGTTATAAGATAACAGATAACTGGTTACGTATGAAAATATTATTATGCATTTTTAAACGATTACTTTATCTGGGAATTAAGAGCTTAACTGCCAGTTGACTTGCCCTAGGAAAGTAATCAAATAATTTAATTAATCTGTTATAGAAATGCGCTACAGGGAAGGATTATGAAATTATCGAGGATTATTGCAACAAGGACACGAAGATAATTATTAAGCTTACTTGTAAGTGATTTTGTGCCATTTGCCGTCTGCTTTTTTCGTAGCGAGTGCTGTGGCGTCGGGGTACCTCGCTACCGTCCGGTTGAGTAGGCCGGGCACTGAGATTGGGGGTTCGGAAGCCACTCCTCGGGCCTGCACGTGCAGTTTCACATGCCCTCCAGGTACAGAACAAATGAAACTGTCGGCTGGTATTACTTGGTCCGGCCCTGTAAGGAAATTCAAACGTAAATATTTCCAGTATTTATAAACATTCGTGTTTGGGCGACATTTTGAGCAACATTTTCACAGTTGTGGTTGTTATAGGTAGCCATAGTGGTATGTAATGTCCAATGAATGATATTTTGAATGTTTTCCTCATAGCACATTGGGTATACCCAATTCGACAGAAGCGATTTTTATCAAACATACATTGAACTCGTTAGAGATTTAATTTACTGAAGGGTAGATAATAAGCAATAGTTACCTACGACTAATTATCTTGTTCGCCATTGTTATCTTTTGCATCGTGGCTAAATGATCAGCGAGGTAATCAATTAGGTAATTATCATTTATAATTATTGATGACGTGAATAATGTCTGTAGCTGTATCTTCTGTAAAATAGTCGATTCAATGTTTTAGTGAAGTTAGCGATCAAGATAAAATATATGTTGAATCGTCGATAACTATTTTGATAATGTAGGTATGTTGCATGACATCGTAGAATGGAATCAATAAAATATTATAATTTTTAGAGAAAGGAAAAGATAAAGTCAATAATCTGTTTTTACGCATTATAAGAAGATTATGTAAATAAGTATGTATACTGCAACAAGTTAAGTGAGCCATGTCTCGGCCACCGGCACCGGCGAGAATGTATCGGCTCGACCGGAGTCACGGCCTAACAGAAAACCGACCAAAGTTTGCGTAGTGATTCGCCGTGTGAGTGAGGTTGATCTTTCCGCCCCCCATCCCGTCACCCAACTCATAACCTACTCCAAAAGGCAAACAATGCGAGTGTCTTTGGGCGGCGCCGATGGCTTACCATCAGGTATCCGTTTGCTCGTTTGCTGATCCATACGTTATAAACTTAATCTTAGGTCCCCTAGTGGCATATAGAAACAGGGTTACTGATCATAACAACCAGACGTTCCATTTTATAAACTGGTCAAGTACTAGCTATTTTGAAAATTATCCTGACTGACCGACTAGCTGATTAACCGAGTAACCGACTGGCAACCTGACAAAATGATTGACTGATTGATTGTTTGACTGACTGACTGTCTGATTGTTTGACTGAATGACTGACTGCCTGACTGACTGGTTATCTGATTGTTTGACTGAATGACTGACTGCCTGACTGACTGGTTGTCTGATTGTTTGACTGAACGACTGACTGCCTGACTGACTGGTTGTCTGATTGTTTGACTGAATGACTGACTGTCTGACTGACTGGTTGTCTGATTGTTTGACTGAATCTAACTTACCATTCAAATGTTTTCCGTGGCTAATTCCGTTGGGCACCTGCATTGTATTGACTTTAATAATTTCTTCGCCGTTCTCCACGATTACTGTGGTGTTATCCTGTAAACATACATATAATAACTTAATTATTTTCACTTGCCATATTATAAGGTTTTTCCTGTGACCTCAAAATACTTTTGTTCTACGGGCTTTCTAGTACAGCTTTGTACTACATTACTCATTCTAATTTGATTCCTCGACTGGACTGATGAACTCTATTAGAGGAATCGCCATAGTGCCAAACCTGTATATATATGTATATATATTTTAAACATTTATTCGCTAGAGCTTCCTTTGGGATGTAGTCTTCATCGATTATGATTCATCAAATGTAGGACACATTTGAGGAATCGTAATCGATGTTAAAGAGAGAGGGCGGGGGCATACATAAAAGTCAAAAGATTAAGATCTGTTGTTATTAATTCAGCATAAGAGTAGCATAGATAAGACAGGAAATCAGCTGGCATAACAGACAATATTTTTTTCTTATTGGACAATTAAAAAGGTTCAGTTCCAATAACATACAAGATTGAATAGATTAATCCCCATCTTACATGATGCAATCAAGTCTCTCGTATCTGTCATCTTAATTAAATTAACTGAACTATTGGTAAAGACCTGTTTCATAGGGTCTAAATGCTAATTGGACCTACTTTCCATACAAAATGTTAAATTAAGCTAATGTAGAAAATAGGTGCTAAGTTCAACCGTGATCGAAATCGGTCTAGGCATAAATACATATATATCATTAAATCGAATTCACCTAAAAATTTTAGTAGCAATTAGTTTTTGGCAAGTATGTTGTGGAGAAAATAAACGATATTTATTATTATTATAAATATCAATAACAAGGTTGCATTACATCATTAAAGTAAATCGGAGATAAAGTTAAAAAGTATTGTAGACAACGTGAAACAGTAGATTTTTCCTCGTCTGGCTTTATAAGAAAATATAATTCAAGATTATATTAGTATCGTGTTAATTAATGGGGAAAATGATAAGCTGCAGGCATTTAGAGGTGATTAAAAAATTGCAAGGAGGTATTACCGGTTAATCAAATTTATAAGTACTAAGTACATGTTACAAGAGTTTTTTAATTATCATTAAAAACGTAGACTCGGCCGTCTCTTTAAAAGCCAAAAGGATTATATGATTTATTTGATCCGTTATTATTTTAAGTTATAGGAAGGCAAACGAGCGCACCGATTACCTGATGGTAAGCATTCAGCAGCGCCCATGACACACAGAACACCAAAAGAATAACGAATGCGATGCTGGACTTTTGGGGATTAGGGTTTCAGAGATTAAGGGATTGGAAGAGGGTAAGAAGGTTTGGGCCACCGCCACCGGTAACCTCAATCACGTGGCAAAACACAACACTGTTTCACGTCGATTTTCTGTAAGGCCGTGGTATAACTTTAGTCGAGCCGATCCAGCTGTGTCGAAGCATGGCTCTCCCACACTTAGGTAAGGCATATTTATTTCATTGCATATTTCATTAAAATTATTTATGCATGCCTCAAGTGTCAACATGTCGCAAAGTACTTTTTTAATAAGTAGGTTACGCGCATATTACCTTAGACTAATGAAATGTCCGGTGAAAAGAGGGTGTGTCTATACCATCACAATGGCCCTACCCTTTGGGAAATACCAGAGTTCTTCGAGAAAATCGATCAACAAAAATTTTACGTCAACTCATTTAACATTATGTTAAAATGTACTTTCCGTGTTGTTAAAGCAAAGGTTTCAATTGATTGTATCTACATTATTCTAGGTCTTTAACCACGTCTAGGTCTAAAAAAGGTTCACATCAATCAGTTGTATATGCGAACTAGTGGCAACGAACTATATTCATGATAGCTCTAATAAATCAAGAGGTTAACGTAAGGATATGGTGTTCTAAATCACGGTAGGGGCGGCTGAGTTCATTCCACTATAGTTCACTATACTAATAAGTCTGACCCAAGTTTGTTAACCTAAACATTTGAGACTCGAAAAAAAATATTTATTTTTATATTCAGTACATTACCGTTATGATAAATTGTTTAAAAAAGTAGCTGTTAGTACTTTATAGAGGCACGTGAAATGTAAAAAAGAAAGGTGTTCTATATCAAGAATGATTTTGAAATAAAATTTTATAGAAATTTGATTTTTTTTTAAAATGGTCGTCGTTAGTATTGGTATTGCTATCTAATCAATTATTATATACAAAAAATATTATGTAATAAAACCAGTCTGGTAACATACGGATGTAAGGCTTTTTATTGGATTATTATTATGCCATTATCAGATAAATTACGAAGACGTATGTTACAAGTATTTGCTACAAGGTGAGCATAATTAGAAGGCCGTGCGTTGCTCTGTTCAAGAGTATTTATACACATCGGAACACATTTAGCAAGACTAGAAACCTACTTTCAGACTAATTGGTATCTTTGCGAGTGTATGAGCAATAGTAAACCGCGGATTCGAAGCAGGATAAGGGACAGGGTGGTATTTAGACAGTTTGAGTCTGAAACTCTTTCAAGCCCCACTCGACGAAGGTAATTTGATGATCATCCCACTTCAACAAAAAAATATTGATTGGTATCTGCCATTGCCATCACCATGGAATCATTTTTGATCTTGAAATCAAGTAATTTGTATTATTTCATATAATTTGCTTTATACAATTTAGGTACTGATATAAGTAAATTATAGATAGTCATTATTGTAAGTTGGACAGTTATTTTGACCGTTAAATACATATATACAATAATATATTATACATAGAAGTTATAGAAAAGGAAAAGGTGCGACTTTGTTCTGATTCTGAATTTAAATACTTTATGTACTTAACATCAATTTACATTTTTCCTTTTATAATTTTATTGATAAAGTAGGTGCTATTTTAAAGAAAAATAAAATAATTAAAGCAGCCTTTTTTTGTAAAGTCTTGCCAATTCTGCATACAGATTCAATCCAGGGCGCAAGCAAGGAGGTTCGTTTATATGCGTCCTATTTTTAATCAGTTAGAAACCAGCCTAATTTTTGGGCACCGGCACCAACAATTTATTATAGCAAAATAGGAAAATTGCCTATTTTTAATATATTATTACCTAATTCTTAAAACTTGTTTTTCTCGATAATTATGTAGCAATTCTATAAGTCTAAAATTATCTAGAAGAACATGTTGAAACCAAGGTCTTCAAGTTTTATAATGCTAGATTTGGATATACTTATTTAATGGTAGGTAGTTCATTCAACTACTTCATTGATAAAGTGAAGGGGCAGCTTCGGGTTAATATCAAACCAAAATATTGTAAAATTACACCAAATCAATGTTCATGACTCTCACTGTTTTTTTATGTGATAGGTCGGCAAACGAGCTGATGGATTACTCGATGGTAAGCAATCAGCACCGCGCATGGACAACCGCAACAACAGAGGAGTTACGAGTGCGTTGCCCCAACCTTCTGGGGATTGGGGATTTGGAGATCTAGGGATTGGGGGAGGGTAAGGATTGGGCCTCCGGTAACCCCTCTCACATAGCGCAAAACAATAACACTGTGGTTGTTGCACGCCGGTTTTCGTGAGGCCGTGGTATCAGTCCAGTCGAGCCGACTCATTCGTGCCGAAGCATGGCTCTCAACAAAATAATATGATATAAAGAAAAATACTGTATAGGGTAGGATAGTATTGCCATTGCCACCCATTCGCTTAAAAGTAGGTACCTATATCAATGGAAATATGGAATCACCAGTTTTATACTAATTCTAAAATTACATGCCCGTATAGAATTGATACCCGTGGTATTAATCAAATATATCTATAATGAACTCTATAAATTCATCGAAAAGTTTAATATACTCTGCGAAGAAAAAAAGGGCTTTCGAACCGAATAGATGGTGAAACAATTAATTTGGCTATATACGAATTTCTATACAATGCCCATAATAATTTTGACAAGCGAAATCCCGTGTGAAACGTTTATTGACAAACCAGCGCCTTCGGCTGCCTTTCCCGGATGTAAAATTTTTTGCAAAATTAGTTTACTAATTTTTACGTAAAAAGAGTACCAAATATTAGTTAATCTCTTCTTATTTTATGATTCAATCTTATAGTTTATGATTAGTCAATCTCTGCATAATACAAACTTTCTCGTTTATAATATTATCCCCTGATTTTTCCAATAAAACATTGCCATTTTTATATTTTCTAAAATTTATTCTCCTGTCTAGGCCTGACCCAAAAATCATATTGAAAGCAAAGTTATTATCCAATTTGGCGCCGTCATTTGTGAGTTATGCGTCTTCATAAATATAGGTACATCTTTATTTATTTAGATAAAAAGGTATTTTCGCCGTCATATATTTTAAGTACTCAATTTCTTATTAAGTTGGATTAGTAATTTTGATAAATAATCCCACACAGGCAAGGCAGGCGCTTAGTAATCGTAAAAATTGAATCGAGAAAGATTTATTAGTTTATTATTGTAATTTATCAGGCAAACAAGTTTATTCTCCGATAAGGAATTTAATTTTTGACATTACAGCTACCTATTAACATCCTGTATTATAACAACAAATGGGCACATATTTTATTTTCTTAAGTGGAATTCTTACAAGAGAGTTTTGAAATTAATTGTCATAGTCAATGATTTTTTGAAAGTATTTATAATATTCAAAACCTTAGATTTTAGAGATATCCTGATATCATCGAGACATCATCATCTTCCTGCCCTTGTCCCGTTTTATTTGTGGTCGGCGCAATATGTTTTTTTCTTCCATTCTGTCCTGTCACTCGTCACGCTATCGCTAACTCCTCTGTCTTCCATATCACTTCTCACACAATCCATCCATATTTTCTTTGGTCTCCCCCTGCCTCTCCATCCATCCACATTTATACACATGGCTTTTTTTGTTACATGCTTTTCATCCCTCCTTTTCACATGGCCATACCAAGACAAACGGTTCCGCATTCTCATCTCTGCTACATGCAATCGCTTTTCATCCGTCTTTTTCAGAGCCCAACATTCTGACCCATACAGTAGGACAGGCCTTATCACTGACTTGTAGATT